TCATAATAAAATTTCCCGCAGACTAGTAAAAGTAAAGGAGCACTAGTCCGGCCAGACCAAAGCCTAAAAATATTAGTGTCGAACCCTGACACAAGTAGAATACACTAAGGTACATAATTCTGTGTATCAGTTTTTGATTTCGATGAACGGTGTTGGTGTTGTTACATGTACTAAAAATAGAAATTTCTGTGAAATTCTTTCAAAATACTACTTCTCCTACAGTTTTGGTCTGATTTCAATATAACTTGGCACACAAGTAGAATACACTAAGTAACATAGTTCTGTGCATCAGTTTTTGATTTTGATGAACGGTGTTGGCGTTGTTACATGTACTAAAAATAGAAATTTCTGTGAAATTCTTTCAAAATGCTACTCCACCTACAGTTTTGGTCTGATTTCAATATAACTTGGCACACAAGTAGACTACATTAACCCCTGCGAGATGATCATGAATAATTCATGATTTTCCTTGAATTTTTCTTGAATTTTTTCATGAAATGTTCATGAAATGTTCATGAAGATCCTATGAACTTATTATTGGACATTTTCAAATCATGAATTTTTATTCATGAAGGAAAATTGATGAATATTCATGAATATTTTTTTCATGAATTAATAATGAAGAGTCATATACATGAAGATTCATCATTTCAAGAATTGTCCAATAATAAGTTCATTGGATCTTCATGAACTGTTCATGAATAATTTGTAGAATTTATCTAGGAATGTTCATGAATGAATAAAATTCATGAACCATTCATGAATATTCTTGCTTATTTGTAAACAAAAAAAATGTAATATTATTATTCACGTTTATTCATGAAAATGCATGAAGTCATGCAAAAAACAGTAACAGATGTTTTATACTCGTAATACAGTATCTTGAAAGATTTCACAGAATATTTGCTTGTTTTCCAACCATGGCAACAAAATTTTTGTTAAAATAGACAAATCTGATAAATCATAATAAACATGATAAATGAATTATATAGTTCATTCCTGGTAAAATTATGAAAAATTTCAATTCAAATGCAACTATTTGCAGAATGTTTAACCTTACTTGAAATACTTCGTCAAGAGTAGAGGGGGGTCCTTCCTCAGCATATTTCAAAGTGTGTTTTAATGCCAGAAATGGAACAGTTTTTAATTCCAGTCTAGGAGAAAACTGTGTTCAGCAACAGGGCAACAGCTTTAAGGGCTTTCAAGCATTTCGAGCAGAGATGGTCAATTCAAAAATTCTTATTCAATTATTGGCTCTCCATGTGGAATTTCCAGAATTTCATCATTTGGATCCTTTGATCGAATATCATTCATATTTTCACTTCTTTCTTTTCTTTTTTTATACCCCCCGCTTGAAAGGCGGGAGGGTATATAGTAATCGTTAATTCCGCAAAACATGGACTTTGCCATTATAACTATATGGAGGCGGGGGGTATCATTTAGTGAGCTCATCGCTCACAGTACCTCTAGTTTTTGAGAGAGCTCAGATTTTTTTGTAGCCAGAGTTTCTTGTCTTCTGCTCAACATTTGTGAACTGCTTCCCTTTTTCCTACAAGAAGAAAGATTTTCTAAAAATGCCCATGAATGTAAAAACTTAGGACATTTTTTTCTGCATTTTAGTTTCTGAGTTAATATTGCATCATTGGGACTTCCAAATTAAAGCATTCTGAGGTGGAATTTAAGCCTATATAAAATATTCCTTGGCCGCCGTGTTGTACGAGGGGTGACCAAAAAGTTCACGAACTAATTGAATAACTTCCAACTTAAAAGAAACAATATTTGGTTTCAGTGTTGATTATATTTTAAATTAATCTTCTCCAATTTTAATGCACATCTGCCAACATTCTGCTCATGCGCGAATCACGTGATATAGGTGGTCACGTGATCCCCTTCGAAGCATTCTGTCACAAAAGCTGAAAGATTTTTCTGAGTTTTATGTTTCTTTCCATGCAAGTTAATTTTTATAAAAAGAACTTTTCATATGTCAGAAATGGTCAAATCTCGGCAACAGAATGGGTGGATAAGAATTTCCTTTCCAAAAATAAGCATGGCGACCATCAAAACCCAAATCTTCTGTCTTGGGAGAGACGTTTACTCAAGATGGATAGAGAATGGATGCCTCCTTTTTATCATATCTAATATGTTTAAAATCTTAAGTAAATGATATCTTAGGTATTTAATAATCATATTATTGTCTTAATATTCAACTGTTTTTCAAAGTGTAAATTAAAGGTCTTCGGTAGCTAATTGCTTAATTAAAAACCATTTTTTTTCAAACTTGCTTTTACTGGGCAACAAAACAAGTATCATTTTTAACCATCTGCCTTCCTTCACAAAAACGACCAATCCAATCATTGATTGAATTTATAGCAAGTCATTTTTCTTAATAAACTGTTTACAAATTATTATACACTACTTCAAGGGGTTTTCTAAGATATACCATAAATTCTACAGTCGTTTGTTGAACGAGTGAGACAACCATTTTTCATCACAAGTGACCTACATAGTGACGTCATTTTCGCATTGTGACGTCACAATCAAGGAGCAAAACTTAATTCAGCATATGCTATTTATAGATCCTGTGTATGACTATGTGTGTACGAAATTTTTTTCTAATCTGAAATGTGGTTTTGTAGATATAGAGATAGTTCGCAAACTTTTTGATCACTCCTCGTAGATCAATCAGGCCTATGAAATTTATGAGCCTCAGTTTATAACTCATGTATGTTACTATGGTTGGATTCCAGCCTTTCCCCCGGGGGTCATAATTTGAAAAATTTAGAATCTACACTACCCCAGAATGCTTCCACATAAGTTTCAGCTTTTCTGGCCCAGTGGTTCTTGAGAAGATGATTTTCAAAGGTTTTTAGCTCACCTGAGCTGAAAGCTCAAGTGAGCTTTTCTGATCACATTTTGTCCGTCGTCCGTCTGTCTGTCTAGCTGTCTGTCCGTCTGTAAACTTTTCACATTTTCGCCTTTTTCTCAAGAACCGCTAGGCCAATTTCAACCAAACTTGCCACAAAGCATCCTTGGGTGAAGGGGATTCAAATTTGTTCAAATGAAGGGCCACGCCCTCATTCAAGGGGAGATAATTGGGAATTAATGAAAATTTGGTGATATGTTTTAAAAATCTTCTTCTCAAGAACCATTGTGCCAGGTAAGATGAAACTTATGTGGAAACATCCTCAGGTGGGCAGATTCAAATTTGTTCAAACCATGACCCCCGGGGGTTGGGTGGGGCCACAATGGCCAACCAAAGTTTTACATAGAAATATATAGTAAAATTCTTTAAAAATCTTCTTCTCAAGAATGACAAAGCCATAATTCATCATATTTATATGGAAACATCCTCAGGTAGTGTAGATTCAAGTTTGTTCAAGTCATGACCCTCGGGGGTAGGGCGGGGCCGCAATGGCGGACCAAAGTTTTGCATAGACATATATAGGAAAAATTTTTAAAAATCTTCTTCTCAAGAATAACAAAGCCATAATTGATCATATTTATATGGAAACATCCTCAGGTAGTGTAGATTCAAGTTTCTTCAAATCATGACCCCCGGGGGTAGGGTGGGGCCAAAATGGCGGACCAAAGTTTTACATAGTAATATATAGGAAAATTCTTTAAAAATCTTCTTCTCAAGAATGACAAAGCCATAATTCATCATATTTATATGGAAGCATGTTCAGGTAGGGTAGATTCAAGTTTGTTCAAATCATGACCCCCCGGGGTACGGCGGGGCCAAAACGGCAGACCAAAGTTTTGCATAGAAATAAATAGGAAAATTCTTTAAAAATCTTCTTCTCAAGAATGACAAAGCCATAATTCATCATATATATATATGGAAGCATGCTCAGGTAGTGTAGTTTCAAGTTTGTTCAAATCATGACCCCCCGTGGTAGGGCGGGGCCAAAATGGCCAACCAAAGTTTTACATATAATAGGAAAATTCTTTAAAAATCTTCTTCTCAAGAATGACAAAGCCATAATTCATCATATTTATATGGAAGCATGCTCAGGTATTGTAGATTCAAGTTTGTTCAAGTCATGACCCCCGGGGCTAGGCGGGGCCAAAATGGCCGACCAAAGTTTTACATAGAAATATATAGGAAAATTCTTTAAACATCTTCTTCTCAAGAATGTCAAAGCCATAATTCATCATATTTATATGGAAGCATGCTCAAGTAGTGTAGATTCAAATTTGTTCAAATCATGTCAGACCCCCAGGGGTAGGGCGGGGCCAAAATGGCCGACCAAAGTTTTTAAAGATATATATAGGAAAATTCTTTAAAAATCGTTTTCTAAAAAATAGCAAATCCATGATTGGATTTAAACTTTACAATAAAAAGCCATTTTCTACTTTTTCCTACCCTTAGTGCTCAGGTGAGCGATGTGGCCCATGAGCCTCTTGTCTTGATTATCTCCCCTTGTGAGAGGACTTGGCCCTTTATTTTAACAATTTAAATTCCCCTTTACCCAAGGATGCTTTGTACCAAGTTTGGTCAAAATTGGCCCAGTGGTTCTTGAGAAGAAGTCGAAAATGTGAAAAGTTTACAGACAGACGGACAGACAGCTGGACGGACGGACGGACGACGGACAAAATGTAATCTAGCCCCAGGATCATGAAACAAGCTTAAACTTAAGTCAAATTTTCAATTGCCTATAAAATATTTATTGCTAATTGAATTCATCTAAAAATTTGCAGATATTAAAAATATTCTGAAACAACATTGACAAGATATTCTAATTTTTGTCTCCTTGACCTCATAAACATTATATTACAGCATAAAGATTTTGACTTAAGATTAAGACCTTTCATGATCCTGGGGCCAGAAAAGCTCACTTGAGCCTTCGGCTCAGGTGAGCTAAAAAATATGAATTATCTTTTTAGGACTTACCTATAAGTGTGACATAGAGTTTACAACCCCAAATCTGATTTATCAGTGAGTACACATGGTGATTTTTGGTGAAATTCCTTTCAATACATTTGGTATTATTTTTTAGGTTCCAGTTGCAAGGAAAGTGATTGAACAAGGAATGTTTGTCAAGCACTGTAAAGTAGAAGTTTATCTTTTGGATTTGAAACTTTGTGAAAATTCAAATATAGCAGACAGTTATTCCATGAGTTTCAGTAGATGTGACACTGTAGGTATGTATAACAGGCATTTATCTTAAGATCTATTGGTTATTGTTCATTACTATAGCTGTCTGATATGCATTGATCATGACTGCTAAAACTAATACAAAAGAAGATAATGCATAGGTAAACTTAATTTTTAGCTCTACTGGTTAGAGACCAGAAGAGCTTATGCAATAGTAATGCGTCCGGCGTCCGGCCATCTGTCTGTCTAGCTGTCTGTCTGTCTGTCTGTCTGTAAACAATTTTTCAAAATGCTACTTCTCCTACAGTTTTGGTCTGATTTCAATATAACTTGGCACACAAGTAGATTACACTAAGATAAAGAATTCTGATTATCGATTTTTGATTTCGATGAATGATGTTGCCATGGTTACTAAAAAAAGAAATTTCTGTGAAATACTTTTAAAATGCTACTTCTCCGACAGTTTTGGTCTGATTTCAACATAACTTGGCATACAAGTAGACTACACTAAGATACATAATTCTGTATATCAATTTTTGATTTCAATGAACGATGTTGCCATGGTTACTAAAATTGAAAATACTCTAAAAGTTTATTAACAGCTACTCTTACAGCTGTAGTCTTATCGCAATATCTTGCCACAAAAAGAGCTTAATCAAGCATCAGTATTCTATTTAATGCTGTTGTAAAGTTTCAATTCCCAACAGCTATTTTTGTCTTCATTTGTTATATATACAAACCAAAAATAAAATATTTACACACTGCTATTAAACTTTCTGTTTGGAAAACTGAGGACATACAACTGTTCTGCAATTACAAATTGATAAGAGTTATCCCCCCTTTTAAAGACATGTTGAAACATGGGGGATGAAAAACAGAGTACAACTTACAAAAGTTATCCCCCTTTAGTTACAATTCACTGAGGGGATGAAATGCAAAATAACATTTTCTTAAAGTTATCCCCCTTTTGTAAATAATAAATACAAAACCTCTTGGGGATGAGATTAAATAAAAAATTACAAAAATTTGTAACTAGTGGAGCAATTCCTGCCTTAATTTAAGGTAGATTGCGGGTTTACTGTCTACCTGAAAACATACTCTGAAAATTTGTCAACAAAATCCTCTTGTTTCAAATATTTTCCTCCCGAATTTTTTAAAAATTCATAGGTGTGGTTATATTGTAATTGTATTTCAAATGCTCTAATGTTGATGAGAACAGGTAACACTATTTCAATGAAATATATTGTAAAATCATGCAGTTTACACTAGTATTCACATTTCATAACCATGCTAGTAAAATTAAAATGAAGCAGGCGAGTTTAATATTACTCAACACAATGAATGTGTAGTACATGTATAAAATTTAGATGATCTATTTACAAAAAAGAAAAACGTGTTCTAACTCATTTTCTTGCAAATATTTTTAAAAATATGCAATTTTCCAACAAGTGTAGGAGAAAATTGTTTATATATATATATCGTTAGTGCTACATCATATTTAATATTTCGTTTGTCTGTGCGGCCAAAACAAAATAAAAAATTATCAACAATTCACTTAAAATAAAGCATGAAATCGACTAATTCAAATTTTTATTGTCAATGTTCATGTAAACATTGTCATACCGTATAAGCAGAATTTTTTGCAAGGATTTAATTATGGCATTATTAGCGAGGGTGCCAAGATCGCTAAAATTGAATATCGCTAAAAATTAATTTCGCTTTACAGTAAAACTCGTTTAGAACGAACACAGATATTGCAAACATTGTCATCTTGGATCCCCAGCTTCTATAAATTTAATAAATTTCTTAAACAGTTATATCGAATTACGAATATAGGGAAGTAATTTCATAGGTCCCAGTGACTTTGTTATAACGAGTTTTGCTGTATTTATGATAGATTCTTTAATGAGCTTTTTAAAATCGCTAAAATTACATCTTGCTAAAAGTAACATACCAATTTTTAAGGACAAATCACTAAATTTTCTCCTGCTAAAATTTCCACTTATATGGTAATTTGCCCACAGCTTGGCACTATTTCAAAAAGACACAGGGAAAAAACAAAAAAAAAATTTCACAGTAAACTCAAGCAATATGGAAAATTTTAACCGAATAATGGGCATTAACTATCTTGCTTTGGATGCTGGATCTGACCTACATTATCCAGATGAGTGACCAGGTTAAAGTTTTTGGAGCAGGTCCATTCCCAATCAACTATAATCCCTACCTGGACCAAACTTTTATGGATGATGCATTTTAGACATGGACACTACCAGACTTGTTTCAGATGCTGGATATGACCTTCATTTTACAGTTGAGTGATGAGGCTAAAGTTTTCAGAGCAGGTCCATTCCCAAGTTACTAAAGGCCCTACCTGAACCAAACTTTTAGGAATAATGCATCTAGGGATGGACACTACCAGACTTGTTTCGGATGCTGGATCTGACCTACATTATTCAGATGAGTGAACAGGTTGATGTTTTTGGAGCAGGTCCATTCCCAAGGAAATATAAGCCCTACCTGGACCAAACTTGCATAAAGGATGTATCTAGGGATGGGCATAACAGACTTGCTTCAGGTGCTGAATCTGACCTACATTATTCAGATGAGTAACCAAGCTCATGTTTTTGGAGTATCTAGAAATATTGTAACCGGGATGCAAATTATAACTATAAAGAAAATATAATGTAAGATTTGCATTATTTAAACTGATAACATTTGTTGAGGAGAGCTTTGTAATCTTTAATTAGGGCCCCGCAAGGATTTGCGGGTGCCCTATAGTAATCACTGTGTCCGTCCATCTGTCTGTCTGTCTGTTCTTACGAGAGGTACATTGTGGGGTAAAATTAACGTATTTTCCAGCAGTGTGGGGTTTTTTGGGTACTGTGGGGTTAACCCCATAATGAAGAGGTCTAATTACGTTCAAAATTACTCTATGAGGTCGAAAAACCTAAAATTAGATTTAACCTCACAAAGACTTTGTCCAAATTTTGGACATGTCCTTAGCCCAAAACGCTCAGACATTCAGAAATCTGCTGTTTAGAGGCGTTCGGTAATTGAATCGAGGAGTTCCGAATACCTGAGCATGCGCATATATTTAAAACTAACTGCGCATGCGCAGATTACGGAAGTAGCTGTGTTTGGACACTTTGTATTAGCAGTGAGGAAATTCGGAAACACAAAAAGCAAATGCAGTAAGTCTTACTATTTTGTTGCACCACATTGAAAAAAAGCTTTGTTAATTGTTTGACATGCTTCATACGTACATTATGCAGTTGTAGAATTTATTTAAAGTCAAGGAAAGGACATCTGTAGTCCACCTAAACACATACCTATTGAAAACGGTCTTTTGTGAAAAAAAATATAATGAATGCACTGATAGTTCTTTTTTTAATCAGAGGTCTGCAATGAAAATCGACCGATACCTGGGGGTCGGGCTAGTGGTTTTCTGCATGAAGGTCGCCCCGTTGGCCAGTAAAAAAAAAGATAATATTATTTATACACATGCAATACGTGCAAAGCACACCTGGTACGTATTTTCACTCGTTTTTTGCTATAAAAATCCAAACCATTTAAATTTTCCATATAACATACTCCAACTGTCAATAAATCTCCATAATTTAATCCGTATTTGAGTACTACTTGGCTTATTTACTTCAAAAAACGATCGTGTTTTTTCTTAATTCGAATTTTCTCTATATCTATGGTAAATACATGCAGATATCTCATAACATAAATACATGTGATTTTTCCGACGGGAGACAAAATCTCTGGATTTTTCACGCCTGTTCCGCCCCTCCCGATTAATTTTTAAATCTTCCGTGTTTAATTTTTTTCAAATTGAATATTTTTGGCTTTAATTTTATCCTGTTTCGTAGTATAATTGCTCTCTCTCTCTCTCTCTCTCCCTCTCTCTCTCTTTGAATTCATTCTAGATACGTACCAATGGTTTATCTACTCTTCACACATTTGTTTACATGTACTTGTAATCGTACCTTAATCTATAGAGAGAAAATCAGAATGGAAAAATGGAATTAACAATGTCACTGCAATAAATTTTCACAGCAAGTAGGCTTTGTAGGAATCAACATGGGGTTGTATAATTAGGTTGTAAAATTTAGTGGTATATCAATTTGATAAATGACAATCAATGTTTATAAATGAGTGCAGGACATTTTAATCAGTTGTTAAAATACCCATTATGTCACATTTTTTTCACATGCGCTTGTGTAATTATGTGCCCGATAATAAAATTCACCTATTAAAGAAATTAAACAAATTACCTTTAGATACGTATATAAAATTATATAACTACAATTAATAGTTTTTCCATAGCTAAACTTAAAGAAATTCAAGCTTAAAGCTACATTTTGTAATTTACAATATTAATTCATCATTACTTTGAATATTTACAGTGAGAGTATGTGACTTAGCTAATACAGGGCTATCAGTATTTTCACACCTGTTAGATTTTGATTCCGTGTAGAAGCTCTAATTGCAATTTTTGTCAAAACAAATGTTTTGTATAGCATGATTATCTCGTGAATTTCACTATCAGGAGACGATCGATAGGGATTAGTTACGCTCTACTGCACTTGACACCTGTGTTGTGTAGAATGATTTTAAACTGCGTAAATACAAATCTTTAATCAATTGAATAATTTTTTGTGTGTGTCTGAAGGGGTGGGGGGGGGGGGGGTTACACTGCTGATCATTACCTGAACATATGATAGTGAAGTTTTTAAATGGATTTTATTGACACTTACTAAAATAAATTTTCATACTTTTAATTCACCATTTAACTGTCTTTTAATTAAAGCTTGTGTATTTTTTCTTATTAAAAAAAATAGATAGTATTAAGGCACATGTATTTCTTCTTGAATGATACTGTAATTCAATTATCATATGTTTGAATGTAACAAAAGAACACTCTGAGTTCCCGAAACTAGTCAAAAATATGTCGGACAATTGTCTTGTAAATATTCAAAATTCACCGGACAGTTGTAAAATTTACCTGACATTAATTTTTTGTATGTAAATTTAACATATTATAGGATTGGAAATTGTGTCGATATAATAAATAATATGTGT